GAACAATGCTAACCTGCTAGCTCAATGAAACCCATAGCTCCGTTAGTGTCATACTCACTATTTTGGGCTTAAAAATACTGTCTTCATTCTTAGTGACACATCTGCCCCATTACAGCGCTAAGCTAACATAGGACGCATGCCCATATAAGGGAACTGGCTCCAGCTAGCTTATGTTCGAACAGGCTCCTTCAGCTCAGTCCAGTCCACTCCTAATAAACAGTCTATGGTTTTCTCTCTGTCGAAGCTTCAGACACGGTTTAGAAGCGAGTTTTGTTTTCAGATCATTAAACCAAAGCTTGAAATCCAAACGTTTTCTTTTTAATAGATTAGGAGTTGAATGAACATCCAAACTTTTATCCACAACCTTTTATCTATTTTTGTTAAGATCATTTAAAACAGGGACTCGAGCAAAAATCTCATTATCTTGTGTAAATTTGGTAAAACAGAAACGCTGAAGCCGTTTGGTCGATGTAGCAGTATTTATTTGCCGCAGATTGTTTCAAAATAAAGTCACTGTATCTTTGCTTTTCTGGTTTTAATGTGAAATGTTGCTGATTCGGGACATTGGTCTTGATAGAATTGAAATTTTGAGGGTTGAGAATGAGACGCCCCTCCAGGCTCTTACCTCCGTCGGCTTCATATCAACAAAACTCTTGAAAAATGTTTTTGCTTCATGGTTTTATTACTAATGACTGTCGCTTGTTCATTTTAGAAGTTAACGGTTTGTCCTGAACCTGCTCCGACGTCGAGCCTTTACTTTGGCTGTTATTGTTATATTTAATTTTTGGATTAAAATACTTCTATGTTTAAAATGTGCTGTTTTTTGTCTTTTTTGTGGTTCATATTTTGGAAAAGGAAAAACTCAGGTCCAGGCCAAAGGAAAATCATAATAACACTGGCCCGAAGTTACACGCAGCAGCTTTAAAGTGAATCTGTTTCAGTCTTTTAGAACAGCGGTCAGTTTTTATAAATGAAACATCATTTAAATAAGTTTCTTAAAAATAAAGTCTGCAAATTAAAACACAATATTCTCAAGATGTTTATGGGAAGTAAGTAATGTGTATTTATAAAGTGTGTTTTACAGACTAAAGCACTTTACAGCGTTCAGAAGCAGTTTGATCTGCAGCGTTTGTGGTTCTGGGGATGGTTTTAGAAGGTAAACAACATTCTTAGTTATGAACTCTAGATTTCAGACCAGATTTGAAAGTTTAAGGAGAGACTGGAGCTGACGAATCAAGTTTAAGTTTATTTCAGTCGCTTTTACACGTTGTGAACACATGAATGCAGAGCCTCCATGTCTGTACTTAGAGCAGGGTCCAGGCCCGTCTGAGAATTTAGATTATTTTTTTTACCCTGGAGAGTTTGAAGTACATCCTACGTTCAGACTAAACAAAATGGAACTCTTTGGTAAAAACCCAACTCATGAATGTATTTTGTTCATGGTCTGAACCAAGTGGTCAAGCAAAAATCCACTGGAGGAATGCTAACTTTATGAAAAATGCTAATGAAGCATTTAGCATTTTACTTTGGACTAGAGCAGAGAAAATGGTCTGAACCAAGCTCCACCTCTGTCCTCCTCTGACTCAAACTTGATCATCAAATATGCTGATGACACCACCATCATCGGTCTCATCAGTGACACTGATGAATCCTCTTATAGAGCAGAGATACAAAATGTGGTTCAGTGGAGTCAAACTAACAACCTCCAGTTGAACGCATCCAAAACATGTGAACTGGTCACGACTTCAGTCACAATAGTTCTCATTTGCCTGTCGTAATCGACAACTCCCAGGTGCAGATCGTAGAGGAGCAAGTTTCTGGGTTTAACTCTGTCTAACCTGAAATGGGTTAAAAACACTGACCGAGTCGTTAAGAAAGCTCGTCAGCGTCTCTTTCTGCGTAAACTTAGAGAATTTACCACTAACTCTAAGATTGTGCTTAACTTTTATCGCTGCACCATTGAGAGTTTACTTGTTGGTTCTGTGTCTGTGTGGTTTGGAAACATCACAGATAAAGAAAAGAGAGCTTTAAACAAGGTGCTCCGCTCTGCAAAGAGGACCGTGGGCTGTGAGCTTCCTGTTCTGGAGGTTCTTTATAAATCCACACTTTTAAACAAAGCTCTTAGGATTGTTAATGACTCTTCTGGCCACCCTGGGAAAGCCATGTTCCAGCTTCTTCCCTCTGGCAGAAGATATCGCTCTGAGATGCAGGACATCTCGTTACGCTAACAGTTTTTATCCACAGGCTGTTATCAGTGTGAACAGAGCACTTTAATGATTTGCACTTGTTTTGAAACGGTTTTAGTCGATCGATTTCACAGTGACATTTGTTTACTGTTTTATTTGTTTTATTTCTGTCTTTTAATGTTTTATGTCTGTATTTGTCTGTGCACACTGGAGACTTTTGATAATGTATTCCAATGTGGTTTTACTGCAAATGGCTAACCCTAACCCTAACCTGCTCCACCCAGAGGTTACTCCACCTCTGCTGCTGTGACCTGAAGGACTGTTGCTGATCTCACTATTGTTAGCTTTTTAGAATGATCAATTCTATTGTTTTTATTTTTGCTGCTACTGAACTGATTTTCTCCCACAGTCGATCAATAAAGTGTTTATTTGAAGTAGAAACAAATTCCAAGATTAATCCATTTTGGTATTTTATCTTTTGGTCTCATGTTTGAGGTTGACCTAAGACGACAATGACGGACACCGTTTGAAGTGGGACGACTTTCACAGTTTGACTTTCTTTTCCGACTGTGTAAAAATAGATTTGTGGCTGGACTTGTTGACCCGTGTCCACAGTTTATGAGAGACGGTAATAACCTTTATCAGTGCCTTCAGTTCCACGGTCATGTTCATATCCTCCGTGTTGACTCTTCCAGCCCCAAACACACCTCTGCTTCTGGACCGTGTCCATTTTAATTGTCTGAAGTCTACAGCTCCAATAAAACTCTGCTCTGATTAAAAGGCGTGAATCCGGACGCTTCTCCACGTTCCTCCGTTATTAGATTTTTGCAGCTGAGAGAAAGTCACGCAGGAAGTGGTGACGCACAAACTCAGGCGATAAATGACGCTATCGGGATAATTACGGCATTAAAGATTAGAAAGGACATGAGTCGATAAATACACACACACTGTAAATATTAGGAACGTTTATTTTTAACTGGGATCAAACACATGCAGACAAAGCCACAGGTCTTAAAGCTGCAGTACCTCACGTCTAAGTCAGTAAAGTTTATTTATATAGCGCCTTTCACAGAGTCACAAACCACTTTACAATTGTTATGGGATTTATTTTTTATTTTTTTCGTCCCTCAGTCCACACAGAGACGGAGCAGTTGTCTACAGGAGGTGCATGCCGGATCTGTTGTACAGGTTTTTAGTGGTAGGACAAACCGGAGCACCTGGAGGAAACTTATGCAGACCCAGGACCTTCTTGCTGAGAAGCGAGAGGAAGTTTTTAAAACACAAAAACTAGTACATTGCAAATAATGATCAAATATGAGGTAAGAATTGGTTGAATGTAGTGTTTTTTATCTGAGAACTTTCTGACTGTTAATAAAGATTCTCCAATGGGCCAAAGTCGTTTTGTCTTTTTGTGGCTTTATTTCTTCATTCCAACAAAAACATTTATTTTTTTTCTATGTCCCATGTCTCAAATGAAGATACATTTTGCCAAATTTGAGGATTTTTTCACAGTGTATGATCCATTTCCTCTCAGAGGTTTGGTCACAAGTTTTCACTTGAGCGTTCTCAGAGTCCGTCTTCCTCAGCCAATCAGCTCATCTTAAAATGTCACATGACTCATGGCTCTACAAGTACCGTAGAGTCTGGACTATTGTTTAAGGTTTCAAAGAACTAGAAAAATAGTTGCGATTAATATTCCAGAAATGACTAACCACATGAAAAAGATCGTTATAATCTGTCATCATTAAAGGGCCCTAATCTGTCCTCATTAAAGGGTCCTAATCTGTCCTCATTAAAGGGCCCTAATCTGTCATCATTAAAGGGCCCTAATCTGTCCTCATTAAAGGGCCCTAATCTGTCCTCATTAAAGGGCCCTAATCTGTCCTCATTAAAGGGCCCTAATCTGTCATCATTAAAGGGCCCTAATCTGTCATCATTAAAGGGCCCTAATCTGTCATCATTAAAGGGCCCTAATCTGTCATTATTAAAGGGCCCTAATCTGTCCTCATTAAAGGGCCCTAATCTGTCATCATTAAAGGGCCCTAATCTGTCCTCATTAAAGGGCCCTAATCTGTCATTATTAAAGGGCCCTAATCTGTCATCATTAAAGGGCCCTAGTCTGTCATCATTAAAGGGCCCTAATCTGTCATCATTAAAGGGCCCTAATCTGTCCTCATTAAAGGGCCCTAATCTGTCATCATTAAAGGGCCCTAATCTGTCATAATAATAAACTGCTCTTTTCCAATCCTTCTTTAACTGATAACTGTAGTTCAGAGATATTTGAAATTCTAAATTACTTTTCCAGCCTCTAAATCTTGTTATTGTTTTCATTTCGATGTCCCGCCCTCCACCGTTTCACCAATCAGAAAGTCTGATCCGGGCGCCAGAACTCACCGCGTGGAGCTAATCTCACTGGTAAAGTACCATGTGGCGCAAAACTAAAAAAGGTCTCGTTATGATTCTCAAATCATTAACGACAAAACAAGGAATAAAACCAGGATTTCTATCTTTGTGAAAAAGGTGTTGGTTATAGATTTGTTGTTGACAAAACTCTTGTCTATTCAGCTGTTATGGTCCCAGCTGGATTCGTCTGCATATCTGGCAACCTGAGTCAGGGAGAGTGGGAGAGGCTGCAGTACCACTTTTGGCCACATGTTTACACACTGCTCCTTTAAGACTCTGGGATGAACAACGTAGGCACCTCAGCTTTAACTGTACACGATACACTAAAGTGACCCCTGACCCTGAACTTTTTGACAATTTTCCGATATCTGCTTTTGCAAACACCTTCTTCAAACAATCACGAGCACATATTTAGGTCACGACATGAACGGCAGGTTTCTGACACTTGAGGATGTGCAGTTTGGCCATGACGGTTTGGAAGCACCTCTTCAACACGCCGCGCACCGCCGCTGACGAGAAGTAGAAGATGATGGGGTCGAAGCAGGCGTTAAAGGTGCTGCACAGGAGCGCCACGAGCCGCCAGCGCTCGCTCTCTCTTCGAGCAAATCCCACCACATGAGAAACGTTGTACGGCCCAAAACACATGGCGAAAACCAGCAGAGTCCCCAGCGCCAGCCCCATGGCCCTCAAGCGCTTACGGCGGCTGATATTCGGCAAACGCGACAAGATGAGGATGAAGTTGATGTAGCAGAAGGCGCAGATGGCGAAGGGGACGCAGAAGAGGACCAGGAAGAGCTCGAGGCGGACCGGGAGCACCACCTCCAACTCTTTGGGGGTGAAATCCAAGTAGCAGGACGCGGGGACGCTACTGTTGTTGATGGAGGGCATGATGTAGACGATGCTAAGGTTGGTTAGCGACACCAGCCAGAAGATGGCGCTAGCCCAGACGGCGTAGCGAGGCCTTCGACACAGAGAGTACCTGAGAGGGAACGCCACGCCTAAATACCGCTCCACGGCCACGCCGGTGAGCAGGAGCGTGCTGTTGTAGATGGTGACGTAGAAGATGAAGCCGGTGAAGGGGCAGAGCCAGAAGGGGAGCAGCCACGTCATGTCGTCCACGGCCTCCTTCATCTTGAAGGGCAGGAAGGCGAGGAAGATGAGGTCGGAGACGGTGAGGTTGAGGAGCAGGACGTCGATGGGCGTGGCTTTGCGGGAGACTTTGCGGCAGAAGGTGCAGAGGGCGAGGACGTTCAGCGGGACGCCCAGCACGAAGGTGACGATGTAACCGGCGAAGAGGAAGCAGTGGAGCATCTCGCAGCCGCACGGAGAGCTGCAGGACACAGGCAAGTTTATTTATACAGTGCCTTGCGAAAGTATTCGGCCCCCTTGAACCTTTCAACATTTCGCCACATTTCAGGCTTCAAACATAAAGATATGAAATTTTAATTTTTTGTCATGAATCGACATCAAGTGGGACACAATCGTGAAGTGGAACAAAATGTATTGGATGATTTAAACTTTTTTAACAAATAAAAAACTGAAAAGTGGGGCGTGCAATATTATTCGGCCCCTTTACTTTCAGTGCAGCAAACTCAGTCCAGAAGTTCAGTGAGGATCTTTGAATGATCCAATGTTGTCCTAAATGACTGATGATGATAAATAGAATGCACCTGTGTGTAATCAAGTCTCCGTATAAATGCACCTGCTCTTTGATAGTCTCAGGGTTCTGTTTAAAGCACAGAGAGAACCATGAAGACAAAGGAACACACCAGGCAGGTCCGAGATACTGTTGTGGACAAGTTTAAAGCCGGATTTGGATACAAAAAGATTTCCCAAGCTTTAAACATCTCAAGGAGCACTGTGCAAGCAATTATATTGAAATGGAAGGAGTATCAGACCACTGCAAATCTACCAAGACCCGGCCGTCCCTCCAAACTTTCATCTCAAACAAGGAGAAGACTGATCACAGATGCAGCCAAGAGGCCCATGATCACTCTGGATGAACTGCAGATAACTACAGCTGAGGTGGGAGAGTCTGTCCATAGGACAACAATCAGTCGTGCACTGCACAAATCTGGCCTTTATGGAAGCGTGGCAAGAAGAAAGCCATTTCTCAAAGATATCCATAAAAAGTCTTGTTTAAAGTTTGCCACAAGCCACCTGGGAGACACACCAAACATGTGGAAGAAGGTGCTCTGGTCAGATGAAACCAAAATCAAACTTTTTGGCCACAATGCAAAACGATATGTTTGGCGTAAAAGCAACACAGCTCATCACCCTGAACACACCATCCCCACCTCAGCTGTAGTTATCTGCAGTTCATCCAGAGTGATCATGGGCCTCTTTGCTGCATCTCTGATCAGTCTTCTCCTTGTTTGAGATGAAAGTTTGGAGGGACGGCCGGGTCTTGGTAGATTTGCAGTGGTCTGATACTCCTTCCATTTCAATATAATTGCTTGCACAGTGCTCCTTGAGATGTTTAAAGCTTGGGAAATCTTTTTATATCCAAATCCGGCTTTAAACTTCTCCACAACAGTCTCTCGGACCTGCCTGGTGTGTTCCTTTGTCTTCATGGTTCTCTCTGTGCTTTAAACAGAACCCTGAGACTATCAAAGACCAGGTGCATTTATACGGAGACTTGATTACACACAGGTGCATTCTATTTATCATCTTCAGTCATTTAGGACAACATTGGATCATTCAAAGATCCTCACTGAACTTCTGGACTGAGTTTGCTGCACTGAAAGTAAAGGGGCCCAATAATATTGCACGCCCCACTTTTCAGTTTTTTATTTGTTAAAAAAGTTTAAATTATCCAATAAATGTCATTCCACTTCACGATTGTGTCCCACTTGTTGTTGATTCATGACAAAAAATTAAATGTTATATCTTTATGTTTGAAGCCTGAAAT